TTTTTTTTTTTTGTCTTAACAACTCTTTAAAAATATAAAAACCGTTCTTAGCTCATTGGACTGAATGTGGCTGGTAGTTTGCCAACCCGTTATTTTAAGGAAAAGTAACAGGGAATTAAATAATTCCACGTAGAGGATGTGGAACGCAAATAATAGAGACTTGGAAACATTGCCATGGAGCACAGCCAGCTTGCCCAGCTGACCACGCACACTGACAGCCGGGGCTGCAGAGCGCAGGGGAGAATGGCTGTTTCCCGGGTCAGGGGTTAGGGTGGCAGATAAAGGCACCGAGGGGGAGGGGTGTGGCAGGGACCACGTGATGCGGTTTAGCGCTTCAGCGGCAATCACTTCAAGACTGGAATCCTGGCTCCATCATTTAGTCCTGGATCTGTAACCTTGGGTTTCCACCCTGTGCCTCAGTTTCCCTACCTTAAAACGGGGCCAATGGTCCCTGATGGACAGGGCTATGAAATTGCTTAGGTAAAGGACTTCTTAGCCCTGTGCCTCGCAGTAAACCTTCAGCAAATGATGCCTTCTATTGGTACTTCTGCTGCTTGTGTTATGAATGTTGATATTGTTACTGACGGAATGGTGAGACTTTAGGGGTCGGTAAGCAGGGTCCCTTGCTCCCTAAATTGGATTGTCAGATTTGGTAAACAAACACACAAAAAAACCAGGATGCCCATTAAATATGAATGTCAGATAAACAACACGTAATTTTTTAGTGTAAGCATGTCCCATGTTACTATTTGGGGCATACTTAAATTATTTATGGTTCTCTGAGATGCCAAATTTAACGGGGCATCCGGTATTATATCAGGATGCCCTCTTGTATCAGTTCTAGAACAGAACACAGAGCCACCCTCTCCAGAGTGGAGGAGAGTAGCAGCCGGCATGTGTTTAAGTGGGATGCTCTGCATTTGCAAAGCCCTGTGGTCCTTTGGCTCATGCACAGAGGCCTGCAGGGCAGGTGCAGCGCTTCTACCTCCATTTACAGCTGAGGATACTGCTATTCTGAGCACTCAGATGACCTGTCCCGAGGCAAGGTGACACAGCTCACACAGGAGCCAGCTATTTAGATGCTGGGAAGTCTCTGAGAGGGGAGGCTTGGATAAGTGAGAAGGGGGGAAAGATTCTAGATAAGGGCGGAAGCTGAGAAAGTGTGAGGAAGGGAAGCTCTGCTTGGCCAAGAAACAGGGATGGGTGGGCCCAATGTAGGGGGGCGCTGGTGCGCCCTCCAGCCTCCGGCTTCTCCACCCCCTCCTGTCTC